TCTCGTTAGCAACGACTTCGAATACGGGATTTCTATACTATAGCAGCATATAGCCTTTTATCGATCCCACGAGTGAACACGGGCCCTGTGCCCACGAGCGTGCTAGTTGCTATTCGACTACTCTCGCCGAGACCCGAACTGCGGTGTAGATGTGGACAAAACGTCCAACAATTCATTCGCCTTATTCGCGCACTTTGGAAAATTATTCGCTAAGACTTTCATACACCCACCGCTCACTCCTATTTTAAGAAGATGTTTTCTCCGGTGTGGGAAAGTATGCACGTAGCCAACCACATGTGTCGATGACAAAATGAAAATTTTGGGGAAATTTTTGGAATTTCTTGTTGGATTTTTTCACTTCAATTCTAGTTAATATATAAACTCCTATAATATAGTAAGAAAGCTCCAGAGCTCAGCTGAGAAAAGCGAACATATATTCCCCCCTACACTGCTTTTCTCACCACCACCACTACTATAAGGATCGATAATACGTCCGAGATAGTTGACTCATCGAGATTACCTTGCACTGTTCTATCACCACTGATTGTATCCGCTAGTAGACCACCCAAAGAGAGCAGGCAGAGTACGATATGCCGTCGTTCATTCCCTTGGAGTAGCTTCATTCAATGAATTATGCATGAGAGAATGAAAAGCAGACTTCGCGAGGATCATGCGCTGATGACGATCGCGAACGCCATTGTAATCGATTATTCAACTTGTATTCTATTACTCAAAGTTCGAACTCCCAAAAACGTTGGGAATATTACTACGATTCAGTTCACACTATAGTGTGAAAATACGGCAAAATATTCGTCCACAGTCGTCGCCCCACAGGAGGAAGGGGGACTTGGAGCTTAGACACTCATGCGTTGAGCCATGCACTTACGCGAAGAACGACGATCTGAAATTGAGATCATCGTTCTTCGCGATTAAGATTCTGAACTCACGGGTGGTTGCGAATTATTTTTCCTATTGATGATATCAAGTAGCTCCTCTAGTGGGGTGTGACGGAAAACATCGTAGTTCACTTCGCGAACAGTGGAACTAGCTCGTACGAAAACTGGTTGCTGTATCGTTTTGGAGAGCTCGTTGAATGCCTGTGACAGCTCATACAGTGACTTTCGGCCCATCGAGATTCGTAGAGGAAAACACCAACGCCCTTCCATGAAGAACAATCGATATTATGCAATTAACATGTTGTGACACGTTGATTCGTATAGGTCTCGGACGTCGTAACTGTCGAACGGTACTCATCGTAGTACACCCGATCAGGATAGCCATGGTATGTTACACACCGTGTATATGTGTAGCCGTAGCCACTTAATCGATACAGATACCATCCATAATACAATGGACATACCTACTATGCTAGCGTCACACTCGTTTGTGTCTTCACTTGGAGGCGTTTTCCCAAAGCGGCGCTTGACTAAGAGCAGTAGGCTACCATTTGGGACCGTTCAGTCCTGAATCCCATAAGCTGGTGTATTCGCCCACACCCCGGGGTCATGTCCTGATAGGCGAACACATCTTCGTGAACATTGCGCTATCTTCGAGTTGAGTGCTTCAAGCGAGGTGAAAAAATCGGACATTTCGATTTTCGAGGTCATCGACGTGAAGTTATCTGTTGCATTATGAACCCGCGAGAGCACTTCCTGGCGCACATCCCAACTCCCAATAGGAATCTCATCGAGTCACCAACGCCTCCGAATATCGAGACAGTTCTCGAGGCTATCACACAAGCGACTGTGGGAGATCTGAAAACTCTTCTATCGGCAATTGCCAAACGCAAGACGAAACTTGTCCACTCTGAGCTAATAAAACTACTCCAGAAAGATGGCATGGTGACTACAGGCGTTATATCAACAACTAGAAATGGCGCACCTTCGACGAGGATAGAGACTGTCGAGAAAATAGTGATGATGTGTAAAAGGTCGCGGCATACTCTGCTGGCAGCCTTCCTCGAAGCAGTAGCCAGTACGAGAGTTAAGCAAATGATGGGATTGATGATAGATATATGTGATCGTCGACTGATCGACAGAATACTGAAAAGTGACATTCATGGGAACTGCAAGTGGGCTTTTATAGAGATGGCTATAGACAAATACACCCGTGAAGAAAAGCACGACCTTGTACGGAGCCTCATCGAGAAGCACAAGCATTCCATCGCAGAGCTGCTCAACACCGTGCATTACTTACCCCCTATTCCTATTATTATCTATCTCATACAAGAGGGCGGCATGAACGTAAACAATGCATGTGCGGAGTTGCTCACCAGAGCATTGTATTCTTGCTCTGAAGCGATGCTTTGGTGTGGGCCATCTCGAGCACAGCGAAGAGTGCGCAACGAGACTTACAGAGGAAAGCTGTTGACTTCGCTAGCGGTTGTCACTGAGACGCCTCTCGCCAACTTCCTTACTGCATTGGCTACCCTTGAGAAAGGCGGTGATTTTCTGATTGATCTCTGGCATAGCGGCGTGTTCCCTGAGAGTGTGTTCAAGCCAGTCGCTGAATGGATACTATTGCATACGAGCACTCCAAGGTGTAGTACGAGATTCGCTTTCGACTTCATCGATAGTCTAAGAGCCTCAAGAGGTTGCGACAATTCTTATTTGAGGAACCTTGTGAGAAGACTGCCGCCATGGAGGTTAGCGGAAGCTGCGATAAACTGGTGTAGAACTACTGAAGATGCCGACATTTTTGTAGTCATATCCTGCCAGTTGAAGGACCTCCTTTTGAGTAATCACGATCCTTCATCATTAGAGCTATACACGAACACTGTATCGACTCTTGCATTGCGAGGCTGGAACTGTGACGAGCTTATGCCACTCATTTCAGTGAGGAATCCACTAGCACACTTCAGTGGTCTGGTCGCAGTGCACTCACTGGCGGCGATGCAGGGGGGACAATCCTCGAAGCACGAGAGTCGGGGGCCACTCTATGACGAGCTCACGCTGTCGGTTCACGCACGTAATTCAGCTGGAAAATCCTGGCTGCTGTCGGTGCCACCTATTGTGCTGTGCACTTCAAAGAAGGACGCTGAGAAAGCAGTTATGTGCCTTGTTGAGCTCTACGGCGAGAAGTACGCCCCATGGTTTGCTAGGAGATGCCTCAGTGCTGCTCTAGTGGCGAGAGATGGAGAGCCACCATTCGCGGTTGTGAAGTATAGTGACGTGAGCGTCGAGGGAACCCTTGTCTCCGTCATCGTTCGTGCTGATATACCATGGATGGCTATTGCAGCCGACTTGCTCGCTGACCATCATCCGTCTAGTCCAGTCTGGTGGTCTGCTCTACTGCGCGGCTTACGGTACTTTGTTGCGGAGGATTCAACCGGAATGAAGCATTGGGCAACGAAAGTCTTCGGAGGGGCTTCACTCGAATCATCACTGCTGAGTGCCTGGCATCAACTGCCATCCGTAGCTCCAACCAAAGCATCGCAGAGCATGGGGCTTCGGTAATCTATCTCGTTTACAAGGCCTTGATGCATTGTGATTGCGACCATGAACCGGAACGGATTCGAGATCGGCGTAAATTCATTACTCTACTCATCCAGGAGGTCGCCAAGAGAGCATCAGCGGCAACTTTAGCAAGGCTGTTCGATAGTGCGATACTACTGGGGCCCTCATGCAGCAACCTCAAGTGCATTTCCGAGGCAATCACGACTGCTCAGAAGAGTTCCGTGGGTATAAGGTGACCAGCCGATTGCTTGTCGCATTTGTGTGATATCGTTGTTATGGAGATACCCGTGTTTGTGCGGCACGAAGCATCGTCGAGCACGGCAACTAATGATAGAGCGACTCCTTCAATGGACTGGTGACCTGTTGTGTCAAGCCTCTCAACAAGTTGACGATTCCAACTATATCTCACAGGACGCGGTCTCAGTTGTGGAAGGGTGCGATGGGATCCAGAAACAACCGTGTACATTTTATTCGTGGTTCAGTGCCTTCCGAAAAGTCCTGATGGCGACATCGATACTGGAGATGTATTTCCAGCCTCCACGTATCGAGCGCCTATCATCTATGATACAACTCTTGAGAGGCCTCGTGAGTAAGTGATTCTCATTTGATCCTTGGACAGCGACAATGCACAGGTAGCGCTGCTACGGTATACTTGAGTCTACCTCCAGAGAATCTCTCTGTCAAGAAGATCATTATCAACTTTCTGACAGACGTAGAAGATCGCGCCAGCCGCGTGCCGTGCAACATCGAGGGTGGACGGCATGTCCTGAAAGTATGTGAGATTTTGATTTTGATTTGCTCGGTTTGGTACCATTGGTATCATAGCAAGCTTTTTCCATAGGTTGTCAACGCGTTTAGAGAAACTACCAATTCAGTGTTATCGCGCATGCGCAATGACCGCACGCGGATGCTGCAACATTCTCAATCTACAAGGCACCACAAGCGTCGTAGATCCAACGATGCCGCAATTAACTCTACGGCAGCCCAGAAGCGATGAAAAGGCTACTTGTGCCTAGTGTTTCCCAGCAAACTCTCTTACCTCCGTAGTCGTAGTTATTTTTCCCTTTCGGGGTGTATACTGTGAGCATGTTACTTTCACCCCAACTTGTGGTCTAAGAGTCAGACGTTCTGGCTTCTTTCGCGATACTACTCGGTCGAGACCTTCAACAATCGACGGATGACATGACCTCATGTCTGCTTCAATCATTGACACTGAGGGATTGTGTTCTTCATAAGGTCGAAGGTCTTGACTCGAAGCCAAAAAAATCGAAAAAGGAAAGGCCAAGATTTGAACCCGGGTCGTCATATTGATAAGCATCACTCTTAACCACTAGACCAAAAAATCGCTACTGCGCCACTAATTAATGTATTACTCGATCAGGATGATCAAATATTATGGGCTCCGCTTCACCACTTGAGACTCGTTTTCCTTGTTTAGTGCACTCACATTCTGCATTTCATGATCCACTACCTTATGTTCAGCCGAATGTAATTCATCAATATTATGGTTGTTCTTTAGTGGTCGCTGTTGTTGTTAATCCCCCAATGATGAGCCTTTTCGCTCCAGCCCGGCATCTCGCACGGTCTTGCATCCCCCGCCTGAGCTGTGCTCGTTTTGCCTCAACTTTCGTCAAGGTACGGCTCACTTCTCGTCGCTATCACATCACCTCTGTGCTTTGCAGGTGGTAAAAGAACAGAATGCCGCGTACACTAAGAAGGCGTTGAAGTGTTACGAGGAGTCGAAGGACGAAGTTGATAGGAAACTCGATCCTGTAACGGTGGTCATTTTTGTGGTCGGAAGTTCTCTTCGGTGTTATATTTGTGAAAATTCAGATTTAGGAAATTTCAAGCACGTCGCTATTAATCGCTAAGCCTAATACATTAATACGTATTACAGGCTATCAATCACCGTTTTCGCCTGCGGTTCGGGTGTCGTTGAGAATTCTCTCGTGACTGATCATCGCTATATCCGGAATCGTACAGTACTCGTGCTTTGTAGGTTTTCAACAACAACCCATTGGTCCTCTTCATGGAGGGAACGGTCGATGCGCCCGAAGGGCAGTTGAGTTTGAACGTGGTGAAAATGCTGACGGAGGTAATACGTCTTGTCCTCGCCTCGCGAAAGCTATCTCAAAAAGCAATCCCCATATTTTGAGGATTCCCATCGCCGATCGTGATTGTCGATCTTCAGGTTCAAGCGGTCCCATTGGTAACTGTTGATGTCACTGAGCATCCTGCTATCACCGGGTAGTAGGTGGGAGGTGTGGTAGGAGTGATGTAAATCCCTCATGTGATCCTCTTTAGTGTTGGAGGAATATATGGCCGCTTCCTTCAGTCGAGTTTTGGTGTTCCCTCACTAATTATAGAGATTTACACACGCACTCGAGTAGAATCTTTACAGAAACCAACACGAATTTTCCGAAATTTCATCAGAATTTCCATACTGTCACTAACACATGTAGTTGACCATGTGCACATTCTCCCACACTGATCCTCCAAGTTTCGAACGGTGTGGTAAAGTATGCATATTGCCAACTGCGCGATAATGAGGAAATCATCGGGAGTTCTCGTTGCTTTTTGTATACTTCTAACGTCAATCGTGTGTTAGTTTTCATAGTGCAGCGAGAGAGCTCCAGAGTTCAGCTGAGGAAACCTAACATATACTCCAACATTGTTTGCGTATTTTTCCCCACAGGTCGCGAGTTTCTTGCGTGTGTCGTATTTAATTTTGCAATCCGTGGCTGCGGTTATCAGGTATACTGTCGCGAAGAGTGGCTCTGAGGTTACACCACATTTGTATTACAACGGCAATTTTTATGGTGATCATGATAGGTAGTATTAGCGAGGAAATTTGGGGAGATGTTATTATCCGCAGACGATCTGTGATAGAAAGTGTTATTTCCTGCTACTGTGGGACACTGCTTCTCTATCAGGCTCTTGAGCAAGTACAAGAATGGAGAGTTGAGGAAAATCGGCAGCAATAAGAAGTAGCTATGGTTCTTATAGGGACTGCTTCGTTGAGCGGTGCGGAAGAATGTGTGTTCAGGTCTGAGGGCGCGTTTGCTGGGGAGCTCCCCATTGGAATGTACTGAAGGAGGAGGACTCGTAGATCGGCAGTTTCTCGATGACGGATTGTGGGTGTTGAGTGTAGTACAGTATTTCCAGGTCGAGTCGATTTCTTATCGACAAGTTTGATTTTTTTCACTACCCATTTGGTTGATGTTTTATTATTTTCGTTGACATTTTACCAATGGATTCAATAAAATACTAGGAAGATTAATGCTATACCACATCTTTTTGAAAGCTCACGACTTCAACCAAGAACCCGTGCATTGATGATACGCGCGCGGAAATTGGCATGGTGTCTACTGAGTAACCCTTGTGTGAGAGGAGGAAAACCCTACGGAAAGTTACATGGGTTACCAATAGGTTGAGTTTCTTCGTGATGCCCATGAGCGACTCGCCTCCCTGCATGTCGTTGAAAATAGGCGTCAAGCGAGACCAAGTGCAATACATATGACTGTCGAAGAAACGACATGCCCTATGACGAGTATTCAGAGCAGTGTTCATTTTATGAGGCCGACGGTCCCTTATGGTTCACACTAAAATTACCGATGGTGGAGGAACTCGCGGAACGTTTACGGGTGACAACAGCTCTGTTCCAGACGACCAGGTTGCAGCTTGTGTTGGTGAATCAATGACTCCGATAGATCTCAATACGTTTCAACCATGGGCTTACTTTTTCTGAGAGGACTCAGTAATGCCGTATGTGAGTTCTTCTAGATGTCAGTATTCTTAGGCTCGCATACTGTACATAGTCTATGGTCACCCCTGAAGTGAGCGCTATGAATCTCCGA